AAAAAAAAAAAAAAGAAAGCACGCTGAACAAGTTAGGAAGAGCAAAGTAGTAAGTGGCACTCCTCCATGGCTTCTGCTTACCTGTCCCAGGTTCCAACCTTTAGTTCCTGCTCTGACCTCCTTTCCTGATAAGCTTTAAGATGAAACAAACCCTTTCTTTCCTCACTAAGTTGCTTTTTGGTCACGGTGCTTTATCACAGCAATAGAAACCCTAATTAACTAAGGCAGCAGTCTTGAAGAGGTTTGTTTCTTTTCTCTAACTGGAATGGAATTGTGGGGTCATAGGCCTCTGTCTATTTTTGATACACTGCCTGACTTGCTCAACAAGCTAGTAGATTACTGTGCACCTCCTCAGTTTTTTTGCCAACCCTATTAAGTACTAATGCTGTTTCCTATATTTCAGACGGTTCTTTCTGATTGTTCTTTATTTCAAAGACCAAAGTTGTGCTTATGTCATTTAGTCATCCTTGAACCCTTGTAACTTTATAACTATTCACACTTTAATGTTCTTCATTCTAGCAGCCTGCAAGAATATACTATAGAGATTCAGCTGTATATTAAGCCATACCTAGAAAATTCAAGGCATTTTTCTAGAGGAAGCCATTTATCACGGAATATTTGGTGTTACTCAGTTTTTAATATATCAGCTGTCTTCTGCTATGAAATTCTTGTGTGCCCATATACTACTAGGCCATTGGCGAACAGTTTAGCCTCTCAGACTTAACTGCTGATCCACTTGGTAACTAACACTCCTGCAGGGCCTAGGAGACAGGAGGCTGGCTGTAGATGCATAGCTTTGTTTCTTGTGCAAATGAAGCTCAGACCATGCCTTGCCTTCAGGCCTAGTAGCACCACAGAGCTATTGTAGGGCTTTTTCCATAACCTAGTGCAGTAAGGACTGGGGCAGATTCTCTGGTGAGAGCAGAGTCCTGTGATGGGAGAGAAAATAGGCAGAGCAGCGTGGCCAGAGAGGAGAACAAGGAGAATTTCTATAGATGGTGAGGCCGAGTCATGTGGCCGGAGAGAAGAGGAGAGGAGAGGGCAGAGTTTCTAAGGGCCAGAGTAAGGAGCAAGGAAGGAAAGATGGAGGACGAGGGAACAGAGGACAAGATGAGTTTGAGAGCATAGGTGCTTACTAAAACTCTGAGGACAGGAAAAGTGGGCACAGAGAGGAGCTGAATGTGAGGGCGGAGCTGAAGCTGTATGATAGAATTTTGTCATAGAGGAATAAAGTAAATGGACAAAGAGCGTGGTGTCTGTTGTGCCCTGGGTATGAGACCCCCGAAGAGACCACCAGAGACTCAACTCATCGAAATGCAAAAGCAAGGTTTATTTCGATTCATGCCTCGGCAGGGACCTCTGTGGAGCACCCAGACACAGTGGAAGCTAGAGGAGGTGCCCGCCCCTCTGCAAGCTCAGTTTTTAAAGGCAAAAATCACAAGGTTACGTCATTTAGGGGTGCTAGTACAGGTACAATTCTGATTGCTCAAGTTTTAGAGGCTTTTCAGAATTTCTGTGTTATCTTACTTTGTAGTTTTAACCGCTTGTTTGTCAAACTTTATAGATTACCTCCAGCATTGGGGCATTCTGTGGTTAATCAATTGTTACCAGATAGTCCTTTAAACATCCTAACTTTGTACTTTGACCAACTCCAGCATGGGGGCATTCTATGGTTAATCAGTTGCTACCACATGGCTCTTCAAACATCCTGACTTTGTCCTGGGACTTATGTCAGCAGCTCTGAGAATTTTGAAACTCAGGGCTGTTTCAAGCTGGGGTGAGGGGCTTGCTTGAAATGGGGGTGCTTTGGCTCTTCAGTGTATATCGATTCTTTTCCCTCAGATACCCCATGCCAGATGTAGTGTCTTCCCCAGGACTCTGGGAGGAATCTTCTCAGGGCAGGTCCCTAGGAAAATTCTGTTACTCCATGTGAATTAGTTAGTTATATCTTATAGCAATTTTGAAAATAATGGTGGTCAGTTAGTATCCTCTTTCTCCTAGATAAGAGCCCCAAGGGGCAGTTTTACAAAACTTGAATAGTCTATCTTGTAAGTGATAGAATTAAGTTCTTTTTATGTGCCCAGGAGTGAGAGCTGAGTAATATAGTAGTTCTATTTTTAATTTTTTAAGGAACCTCCAAGCTGATATCCATAATGGCAGTATTCATTTTCACCTCCAGCAGTGAATATGAGTTCCTCTTTCTCCATATCCTTCCCAACATTTGTTGACTGACAAGCAGAGCCAGTGAGCTGTGAGCTTGACCAGCATCTGCTGGGAGGTCCCTCAGCTATGTCACAGCTGGAGTGTGGCCCTGTTGGAAGTTCCAGAAAGTCCTTGAGCACTGGCCAGGGGCCTGTTCTGACAGGTGGGCCTATGTGAACTCATCAGCTGTGCAAGCAATTTGAAAGTGAAATTAGACTCACAAGCCAGAGTCATACAGTGGCCAGTCTCAAAGTCCTTTGCAGATGGGGATCAGCACAGTGGCTTGAAGTGCCCTCTCTCAGGGAGCACAGTAAGATCCAGGGCCACCTCCAGTTTTTGTGCTGTTCCAGTTGGCATTAGCTTTGCACTCTCAGGGCTCACAGCTTAGGGTTGGTTCATTAACACATCAGAGAGCCTCCCTTAGGCTTGGCTCCTCTCTGAGCTGCCTTAGGACTGGCTGTTTAACACAGTGTGCACACGTAACATTCTT